TTAGATTATCTTCCCCTAAGTCCTTAGTGGGAAAACCTTTAACCATCCATCCTAAATCCCAAGTCCTTAGAGATATCTGATAGAGTCAAGCCTTTATTTTATCAAGGGTTAAATTCAGTAACTATAGGGTATCCCTAGTCCTAGGTGATATCTACTATAGCCTAATTATATAAAAACTATAACAATTGCAGTCCAACTGGTTGTTAACCGTAAAGCAATCCTAATTTGTCCGATCAGGAAGGCATACAAATATTGTATAATTAAATCGAATAGAGAAGACTTTATTAAAGAACTTAGGAATTCATAATCATTACAGATTCAAATCAGGGACACCCCCTAGCATTGGGGGGTTTAGCTACTCATATTGCTCAAAATAATCACAAGACAAAATATAGACATTACAAGGATTGGGATGAACTTTGATCTTCATTTACTTCCGCGCATGAAAATCTCCCGCTCTTTGAAAATCTTGACTTCTTCAATCTTCAGTCGTGTAAACTATTCTTTGCTGCCAAAAAGTTTCGTTCTTCTTCTCAAAAACAAGTTTTAATAGTATTAAGTCATCCCTTAGCAATGCAAAATGTCCAAAGTATCCTTAATGATCCAAGACACTTAAAACTCTAAAAATCAGAATTCCTAGCGCCTTGGCTGACACGGGCACTCGTGTCAACCTCTATTTCTCGCTTCTAATCACGCTTCCATGCATGTGTTTTGACACGGGCTGTATCGTGTGACACGGACACCCGTGTCAACGTCTGTGACTTTGTTTTCTCACGCTCTGGTGCAGTTGGTTTGACACGGGCCGTGTCAGGCGACACGGCCGCCCGTGTTAGCCTCTGGTTTCCATGCTTCCCAAGTCTTCCCCCTGACACGGCCCGTGTCAGGTGACACAGCCACCCGTGTCAGGGCTCCTGTAGCACTTCTTCCGAAACTCTGAATTCTGCACTTTTTTGCCCCGATTTGTCCTGTTTTATTTTTTTGAACCTGAAAACACTAAAACATAAAACCAAAGTATAAAATGCGGTAAAATGAAATAAAACACTCATCAATTAAAAGAAATAATAACTGAAATAAATGATAAATACTTGTGTAAAAACCATTGATTAGGTCTCTAAATAATATGACGCTACGTTCGACAATTACATATATCTTCGAACTCCAAGCTTCCACGCGTCTCTTTGGATAAAATTAATCTTTTTGAATTTGAAACTCCTTATCTTCAAAGCGTCAAAACGTGATGATCGAAGCATGCTTATTAATACTTCGAATAAACTTGATATCTCTATGGTCCGTATACGGACCTTTCGCCAACACTTAGCAAAATTAAAGTTTCAGTTTTAGCTCTTCACTTATTATAGTTTTCTCATGGATTCTTTTATTCTTTCCTTTAAATTACATCATAAAAAATATATTAATTTAACTAAAACTCATATAATCGAAATTTCTAATTTACACCTTTTAACTCAACTTTAAATGCCCTTTTCAATAACTCTTAACATGATTATTTACATATTTTTTCATTTAAACAAAATAAAAATAAAAATAAAATAAAATATTTATATTTCTACTCATGTGCACAATAGAATAATGATATAGTTTAAAATAAATTGAAAATACATAAGAAAATGATATAAATCCAAATAATAAGAAGAATGACCTATTTCTACCCTGATAAAAACCAACGTGGGAAGAGAAGCAGTGGGCCAAGCAAAAACCGTGTGTTCTTGTCAATATCTTCTGCCGCGAAATCGTTTCTTTTTGACGGAAACAACCATCGTTCACAACATCGCTGATAATCGAAGCTTGAATCTTCATGGCTGGGTCTGCGTCTGCATCTTCCTGTTGCGCCACTGCGCTCATTCCTAAATCAACAACTCGAATTTCATCTGTCCTTAACGGCAATGCAAGTTTCGTCAACAACCGAATTTCCCGCTTTCGCGTTAGGGTTTCCATGGTTGACTCTTCCTCTTCCTCCTCCGATTTCACTAAACGCATGGAGCAAGCCTGGTTAATCTCTCAGGTTCCTAATCCAATCTCCAATACAAATTTTTTCATCACGAAATTGTAATTGTTCGCTATTTTTGTTCCTTTTTTTAAATTTGATTGCCATAACTCATATATATAGTTTGCATTTGGTGTAAGTTTGATTTTTGAATTCAATCTAGAAACAATTTCAAGTTCTGTTTTATATTATTTTGTGACCATTAAGTTGTTTAGAATATTGAGGATACCATTTTTTTATATGATAATGTTTACATCTTGAATGGAGTCAAATCAAATATAAACCTTGCAAAATTTATTGCATTTGAACCAATTAGACATGAACAAATGTTTTTAAATAGTCTACTTACTATCCATGTTTATTACATTTGAGGATGTTGCGTTGGATGTGTGTAAAGACTAGACATAATAAGATTAGAAATGACAATATTAGAGACTCTCGGGTAGCACTTATAGTAGAAAAGATGGTAGAAAATAGACTTAGGTGGTTTGAGCATGTAGAGAGAAGACTTGTAGATTTTATGATAAGCAAAATAGATTATATGGAGAGAAGTCAAACAGGCTAGAGGTAGAGGAAGACCTAAAAAACTATTAGAAAAGTTATTAAGAAAGATCTCAAGATTAACAATTTTGATAGAAACATGGTCCTGGATAGAACATTATGGCGAAAGTTGATCATGTAGCCGACCCACTTAGTGGGATAAAGCTTGATTGTTGCTGTACTATCCTTGCTCTCTTTGGATAAATAGCTTAATTAAATGTTTATTATATAAGTTTCTTGTGTATAACCTAATCTTATAAAAAAAGATAACATAAAGTTAAGTTATATATAAACTATAAGTTGTTTGCATTTACTATTCTAAAGAATTTAGGAAAATAAGCGGAAAACATCTTATGGATATATCATAAGCAGCTTTTATAAGCTCTTTCAATTAGTCTCACAAGTATTTATGCAAGTAGACATGCTCAAATAAGTCGATCTAAACAGACCCTATTTTCTTGTAATTGGCAACATATTGAATGAAGATTTTTTAACAAGAACATATTATTATTAATTGTTGTTGCGGACACACGAATGAAGCCACATATGATCAAAATTTAAAATTTATCGCTTTATTACTCACTCTATATAACTATAGCTATGTGCTTAACAGAGTATTTTAGCTGTAAAATTAGATACATTTTGATATTTATCTGTCGGTTCTTGATTTCTCCTGTCTTTATGAACCTTGCAGCAACCAAGACCAGTCGCATGTTCGTCTTGCAACTCAAAAGGGCATATTGAATGCAAATGGTGTGGAGGTACTGGTTTTTTGGTTCTTGGTGACCACATGCTTTGTGAAGTTCCATCCAGAAACACTAGTTGTATTATTTGCACTGGAGAGGTACATTTATGCGGAAGGAATGAGTAATCTGAATTCATTTTACCTATACAACTGTACTAACTTGTAGTGTTATTCAGTGCACTTTCCGCATAGAACAGTTTGCAAGAGACTTATTCTGTTAATTTGCTGTTATTCACTCTTTAGGGATCAATGTGCTGCTCAAATTGTCAAGGAACAGGCTTTCGTGCAAAGTGGTTGGAAGAGCCTCCTACATCCTAGATGAAATAATACTACTGAAATGGTCGACATGTGTTTCAAGTTGGGAGGATTGAAGCTGCATCTGTCTGACTGGTGCAGCACTCACTTTTGTTTTTTCAGCATACGCTTATTATGTTGTTGTATTTTTCTTTGTATAATAACATGTACAAGTTCACTGTTTTATCAAATGAAACGAGTCTTGAAACTACAAATGTAGGTTTTAGATTCAAACATGTAAATGCCAAGCTTCCTATTAGAACACAATATATGAAAGTTGTTTGATTTTGTAAGGAACAGTTCAGCTTTGTAAGGAACACAATAGATTTAGTTAAAGAATTATATTGATTTTATGTATAATGTAATTCTTTGCACTAATGATTTTTTTATTTCTTTTATCTTTCTAACATTGTCAATGTATTATTTATTCTTGACCTCTTTGCGGCCAAAATACAGTGAAGTACTCGATTCTTAAAGGGGTAACTCTGCACGAGACTCCCATTTTTTGGGCTCTAGGGGAGTGGGATTTATGCAGTCTTACCTCTGTTCCCCAGAGTCACAATTGAATAACCTTACCGTTGAATCAAGGCTACTCCTTTAAAGTACTCAATTCTTACCTTGACCTCACCTGAAAACATCATTAAAAAAGTTTTTCTTCTATTCCCTGTTTGGCCTAAATAACATGGATGGATAAAACACCACATGTCATCCAACCATAATACAAACTGTAAGTAGCTCACAATCTCCTATGTATCCTAATAAAGTTCGTTGTATTCATTGCAATAGCTGTTGAACAAGCATATACTCCAACAGAGCACAGGGATGCAGATGCCAACAAAAGGACTTTCCATTGTCTCCCAGATACCAGAATTGCCATTGCAGCCAAGGCAACAACCACGGCCGAAAGGACGTTTTTCCAAGTTTGAAAAGCTTTGACGACGGTACTACATCCTTTGCAATGTATTACATGTCTGAAATATCTATTTGCTAAATTTGGAGCGTGCATTGTTCCAATGCCTCCCTTTGCAGGTGAGGAAGCTGATAGTCCCGCAACAACTCCGGCAGGTGCATGTTCAACCACAGCAGGCTCTTTAGGGAAGGAAATAGTGCTGTGGCCGAAATGATATGGCATTCCATGTCCCACTTTATCCATCCACTTTCGGTATTCGGCAACCCATGTGTCTGATGATTTTAAGTTGAGGTATAGCTCCTTTGTTGGAACCTTCTCTTTCAAAAGAATTTCATTTTGAGATGATAAGAATCCCATGTCTTGCTCCAATACCTTACTTGCATTTTGATGAAAGTACCATTCCGGAAACAGTTTCATTAATGGAGATCTTTTTGTTGCTCCAAACCTCACTATCAACATGGATATCCCTTGCCCTGTTGGTCTACAAAGGAACAAACCACTAAAGTGGTTTATTTCACCATTTTATCAACGATTTCCCTGTTATTTTGTAGAACACAAGGAGCTTCAAACCATAAGAAGTTAGGCTTAGAACCATCTTTCTCTCGTCCCCACCAACCTGCAAAACCTCTATCAGTTCGTTCAGTCACCTCAAAACCTAGTGGCTGTGCATCTTCTCTTTTTGCAGTCCAATCCGTTCTATCGTGCGAGATTGGAATATGAGCAGAATCCATCAAATTTTCCAGCAAAATAGAATGGTCATATGGGAGTTCATGAGTTGTTGAAATATCTTGAAATCCTGGCCTTGCAAAGTTCTCAAACCAAGGTATTTTACCTAGATTTGGAGGTGTCTTTGGAGACATCCATACCCAAAGAACACCTTGAGAGTCCCTCACCTCATATGTTTTAACACAGGCTGATTTGGGAATTTTGGCATCAGCTGGAAGCTATTGAAATCGGAGAAAACAATGACTTATTGGCATCATGTGGCTACATAGTTAAAGGTATATGGTTTAGGTGAGAAAGGTACCTGAGGTATCTTGACACATTTTCCCTCGCCTTCGAATTGCCATCCATGATATAAGCATTCAAGCCTTCCATCAATCAACTGGCCTTCTGATAGTTTTGCTAGCCTGAATCATACAAAAGGTGCTAAATATCCTAGTCTTTTTCTCATGTATAAAAAGTAATGTAAAAATGATACTATTGCAGAAAGATAACTAACATAATACTCTACAAAAGCCAATATCCTATTCTGAAACACATTAATAATCAGACAAACACATTGAATTTGTTTATGTCCCTTGAGTTTATTTCAAATCATGTTATAAAACAATAAAACCAAACAGTAGGAGCACTAAATATATAGAGTTGAGAGTATAACCAACCTGTGGGGACATCGATCTTCATAGCATTGAAACTGATGATTAGCATCTCTAAACAGCACAATGTTCTTGTCATACACTTTGAGACCCAATGGTGCATCATGTGGTACATTCTTAGTGAGATACAATGGGTACCATTCCTGTGTCCAATCATAATCTGCAACCTCTCTCTCACCCTTGCGTTCTTGCTCACTAGAAGGTTCCACTAGAACTTTCTGATCTTCTTCCCCGTCAAGTAAAGTTGATGCAGCTTTAATATCTGCAGTAGCAGCAACATGCCATGATTGCTTCCATCTTCTTGATGACAAGGCTTTGTTGAAGTTGAAGTTGAAATTGGAAGATGGGTTAGTAGAAAGGAGTGTCTTTTTGGATGGTGGAGATGAAACATGCAAAGCAAGATGGCTTTTTGTGGGGAGAAGAAATGAATTCGCCAACGCCATGGAGTCAAATCAAAGAAAGTACAATCTAAAGCGACACTTTCAGGTGCTTGTGTTGTTAAAAAATTTGGGTGCCATTCCTAGCCACATATTATTTGTGATTTTACCTTAAAAATGAAATTATGACATATAATAAATAGTACAAATCCAATTCACACGCGGAAAAACCGAAAAATATAATTTTTGATTTTGGTCGGTGTTAAATTTGACAGACGCTGACGTGACGTTTTTTTTTTTATATTTTGGTTCCTATTGTTGTTAAACTTTCAAAAATTGTGATCAAAGGATTTCAAACACTTTATCTTTTAACTCATAGCATAGATTCCTCTTTACCAAATTATTTATGTTTTTTTTTTTTAAGAAAATGCAAGCCTATATATTACATAATACAGTAATTTATTTTAAAAAAAATTTTTATTTTAAATTTTGATATTAAGTTTTATTTTGTCCTAAAAAATAATAATATACAGTAATTTATATATTAAATAATTTGAAACATTTTATGTATTATTTAATTATTTTATTTTATTATTAAATCTTGAAATATTTAATAATTAATATAATAATTCAATAATTAAAATATTATGAAATTATTATTTAATATATAATAATTAAAATACTTAATAGTTGAGATATTAAATAATTAAAATATTTAATAATTTATTAAATATTTATTATATTTGAAATATTTAATAATTAATATTTGAATATACCAATTTTCGTCCCTAAGATTCCTCTATCATCTCATATCAACTCAATCATATCAAGATCACACTAGGGTTTGGTTCTTCTCCCTATCTTTAGGTTTACTCATGAGGGATCACCAAGCATCTTAATTTGTATATTGTGATCATATATGTTTTGTATTGATTAACTTTTAACTAACAAATATAATGAATGTTTACTCTAAATGACGATATTATAGGTGAGGGCACAACACATTTCATCAGGTTGATTTATAGGTTTATGAGTTTATTTTCATGCCTTCTTCAACAAAGCTTCATTGAGATTCAAGCTTCATCATTGAAGATGCTTTAAAGTAATATCATAACAAGGTCTATTATGATTCATCATGCCTCAATTTGTCAAAGAAAATCAAAAGATGCAAGGATTGATTGAAGAAGTTTAACCTAATTGGACAAGTTCTTGATTTCTTGATCACAAGTGCATAACTCTTTTAATTCTTAATATTTGGAAGTGGTTATTGTTGTTATGATTTCTTATTATCATCCACAACAACTTCTATTCACATGGAAAAAGTGATTGTGCAAGAAAGACTGTCAAAATTGAAAGGAGTTTCTAAGTCATTTTGGTACTTTATGAGCTAGGGTTTTGAACTTCTAAGGGTTATATCTTGCTTATCTTTTGAGATTTTTGAGTAATTTCAAAGATATGCTTCTCTTTAAAGGGTTATCAACTAATTACTTCAAAATTTTCAAGCAAAATTTGTGTGGAAGATTCCCAATGATGAAGAAAGATTACAAGTCCTCTAAACAGACTATCAAATTCCCTTATGTGGCTTCAAAAGATTATAACTTGGTCAATTTTTATCTCCTTGATCCCATTCTTTTTCCAAAATGATTTTGAGGATGTGAACTCCAACTCTTCTTTTATGTACAAGACTTGAAGATGGGTGAAAGATGCCCTAAGAACTCAAAAGATTATAAGTCACCTCATGGATTTTCACTAATTTCACAAGGCTATAACTTTTTCAATACTTGATATTTTTTAGTGATTCAGGCCTGACAATGCTCTTTGGGAAGTTTACTTCAAGCTAGCATCAATGATCAAAGCTCAACTTTGGAAGAAGGCCTTGTTTAAACTCAAAACATTATAGGTCACTTTTGAAGAAAAATTTAGAATTGTACTAAGTACAAAAAGTCAACATCTTTTTCTCAACTTTGACTCATCACAACTCTTAGCTCAAGCATCCAATTGATCTCACTCTTTGCATATTGTAAAGATTGTGACCTCACCTTTCAAAAGCTTCAAGAATTATGTCCTAAGACCACTTGAGTTGTGAGTATCATTGGTTCAAAATGGGTACCTTGGAATTGAAGTTTCACTTCAAGTCAGAATTTGAAATCCATAATCCAGCTTCGAAAAACCAAATTAGCATGCGTTTTTTATTTAAACATGTTTAACCAAGCTCCCAAAGTTGAATTATGGTTCAAAATGCAAGAGTTAGCTGAGTTTTGAGCAAATTCAAGTTACACTTTTCTCACTTTCGGGCTTCCTTCATTTTCCCTCCAAACCTCACTATTGCTTCCCATTCTTTTCAAGGGATATATTGCAATAGTGAGAAAAGTGAGAAAAGTGAAAAAATTATCGAAGGATCTAATGACCTCTTGACAAATATTGGTGACCTCATTTTACTTTTATTTCTGATTTTACTATTTTTCACAAATTTTGGTTTATTTTGCTTATTTTCTCCAATTTTAGAAAATAGTTTTTGACTTTAAAAAATTCTGAAAAAATTTGTCAACCCTTGTTAAATCATGTTTGACCTCTGACTATTTTTTGGGATTTTTATTTGGTGTTTTAATATGCTTTGTATATTTTACCATTCATTTTTCTTTTATTAACCATTTAAACATTGTTTTATTTATATTTTATTTTGTTTTTTCATTTTGGTTCTGACTTGGACTTCATTTGGTGACAAATTCTTCAACCTCATTGAATATTGGGTGTTGATAGGTTGAGAAATCAAATCCACCAAAATAGATGAATGATGTTGATGATATTTAAAATCCTTATTTCATACAATGCACCCCCTCCCTCTTCATCTTATCCCTTTCTGATTTGTGCTACATATTGTTAGAGGATGATCTACATATCATCTCTCCAAACATATGACACATAGATTATTGTTGACCGGCCTCAAAATAGGTATGACTTCTATATAAGTCCACTTACGTTTGCTTAACATAACGCTAAATTTTGTCCCGATTCGAGAAATGATCATTTATGGCCCAAAAGTATGTTTGCAAGCCCAAGTATATTTAATTTGAAACCTTTGATCCAATAGCCCTGAGGTTCATTGTTAGGAGGCTTTGGTCTTATCAATCCTCTAATGAATCATCATAAATTTTGGACTAAGTGAATAATTTAAACATCGTTGATCATTTGTTGTTGCCTCGAGAATTTGAAATGAATGATATACTTGACAAAAAACAAATGAAACTTGTTGTTGAGAGGCTTTGATTTTATCAATCTTCTAATGAGTTTTCAAATACAAGATTCAAGATGGTCATTCAACTAACCTCTAATTTCTAACCATTAACAATTGACTTTTATTTTATGCTTTTACTTTATGTCTTTACTTTTACGCACAATTTATTTTAATATTTACATTTCATGTTATTTTCATCTTTGCTCACTTGAGCATTTATCTTTATGTCTTTTCATTTTGCTCACTTGAACTTTTTAATTTTCTTTTTGAAGATACCTGTTCTGGACTGGGCCCGACAGGCCCAAAAGCATTGCTAAGGCCCAATCCAAATGAACTTGCTGAGGACCATGCCGACCAAAGGGTCACAGTCGTGCCCGACGTGCTCCCTGAGGTCACGTGCTCGACCTCGACACCTCCAGCTCGACATCCTGCTGTCCAACTCGACATCACCTCGAGCACCCCAACTAGGGCAGACTCAGTCCACTGCACTCCCAACGAGGCCCCGAAAAGACCGCGTCTCCATCCGCCCGCACTTCACGCAGAACATCCAGGAAGGGGACCACGTGCGGGTCCCTACTACGCACGTAGAACCTGGCAGTTCCTCCATTGGGCCAATCCTGCCCGGCCCAATGAAGGAACCTTGGCCCAGCGCTGGGGGTTATAAATACCCTCTGTTTCCAAAGGGTCAGGTATTCATCATTCTACCCATACACTTGTTATTATTGCCTGCTCGTGCTTCTACTTACTTTAACATCGGAGTGCCTTGCAGGTACCCCCCCCCCACCTCGTTCAAAAAGCTTTCAGCTCGGAGTCAGCCGTGACGGTCCATTTCTGATCAGGTCAGATCAGTGGCGCCGTCTGTGGGAAACTAGCTTCCCCGTCTTACAAACAACTCAAAAGACCAAAGCTCAAAATTAAACTACTTGTCATGGCTGATCCAGCTCGCGATGAGCAGAACGTCCGTGTCGCCGACACCAATAACGGCACGGCGGACAAAAACGGACATCTCGACAACGTCGTCAATCCCGGCCACAACACCGCTCCTGCAACCACCGTCCTCGGAACTTCCTCGCACAGGGACGGAGCCACATCATCATCCTCCCCGCTCCCACCACCACTCGAGGACGACCCGGCGGCCCTCGCCCACTACAGAGCCGTCCGGTTTCAGGAAGTCCCCGTCCCCCCGGGGTGGATGCCACCACACAAGCGCTGTTCGCAGCAATTAACCAAACGAACTATCTCATCTTCGCCCAAGGAGAGAGATTAAAGGCGCTTGAAGACGAGCGAAGACCCCCGAGGAGGCATCGGAGACCACATACTCCCCCTCCTCGGGTGACTGAAGTTCGACACCCTTCTCCTCCGCGGAGACACTACAGGGAAAACTCCAGAAGCCCTTCTCCCCGGCCAAAGCAGAGGCGACCATATTTAGAGAGAGATCCCATCATCCCCGCCAGCGAACCCAGTCGCGACCCGGCGAGGCACGACAAGAGACACGCCGGGGACGGGAGTGTGACATTCAACCAGCGAGCGTCACGCTCGAGGGAGACTCAGCACGACCACCGTACCAGACAATACTACAGGTCCCCATCTCTGTCTCCGGAGAGGAGCGACGAGGACGACCCCCGCGGTCCCCTGTCGCAGGCCATCATGGATGCACCCATCCCCCCGGGCATGGAGAAGCCCCCACATCTGAAGGAGTATGACGGAGTTGCGGACCCGGTCGACCACATTGACAGGTTCGAGGCCATGCTCCATTATCATAATGTCGGGGGGCCCATCAAGTGCCGTCTTTTCCCCACGACTCTCAGAAAGGCGGCCATGGACTGGTATA